TCAAGAGTCCTGCACATCAATTAATTTATGTGTGTCAATTTCCTCTTCTGCAAAATTTAAACCTTGCCTCAGACATGCCTCTGAGTTTATTGCAAGGAAAGAACTTTCACAAATTTATGTAAATCTCTAGCATTATAAAATGATAAGCAACAAATTTCACTCATCTTGCAGCTACACTCAGCATAGACAAGAAAGAAAAAAAAAACAGCATACGTGTCCGAGCCAAGTTTTTATTCTCCACAAAGGAATTAGATATTTATACTCTGTAGAAGTGATGAAATTGTCATTCTCATTCTTTCAACTAAAAAAAATAGCAGAGCTCAGACATGATAAAGTTTTGAACTAAGGAATTGTTTTTAAGACAGAAAAGATATGTAATAGCCAACACTTGTGTGGCACTTTAAATATGTAAAGTATTTTCACATCTCATGATTTGTGATCTTCAAGACAAACTCATTGAGTAGAAATTATCATAAAAGTGACTTCAATGATGTTGTTTAGCAAGTCTGAGGAGGAGCCAGTATCGGAACTAAAGATTTCACTTCTTAAATCCTCCCTTTCCCATCAAACTAAGCTGGAATGCCAAATTCGTGGGAAACAATATACACCTTAGAAATCAGATGATCTGAGTAACAGTCTGGGTTGGACTAAGCTAAAGCTCTGGAGTCTCATTGTGATTTTTTTATTACTTGAGCCATTGTCCAACCGAGGCAGTCTCAACCTGTCCTCTGGATTTTTATTTGCCGCTTCACACACAACTGCTCTCTTTCTATGAGAATATTAATGAAGAGACTGGGGTCTGTTCATATTTGCTTTATCTCTGATGGCTCACATATAAGAAACTTAAACAAATAACTATTTAAATGAATTGAATCCATTCATTCAGGCAAAAAAAATTTTGGACACCTACTATGAAACTTTTCCAGGGTGAGATCAATACATGAGACACAGAGAGCCCCTGCCATCATGGAGTTTATGGACTACAGAGACAGACAGACATTGAACATAAGAGTTATGAGAGCTCAGAGAAGAGTTGTTGACTACAAAAGCTATAACACAAATTTTCCAGTCCCTTGATCTTGAACTTTTAGCCTCCATAGCTGTGAGGGACCAGGGAAGACTTCACTCTTGAAGAGATCTGTAATCTACAACCTAAGGTTGAAGGGGAAAGAGGTAAATGAAGAGGAAAAAACAACATAGGTAGAGAGACCAACACTAAGATGGCAAAGCGCATCCCTTGGAGTGCATCTGAACTCCTGCATCTTATTGAATTGGCGTGGTTCAGAACCAAATCTTATAATGATGCTGGGATGTTCAGGGGAGGGAAGCATTATAACAGATTAAAATTGTTACTTCATATAGATAAGCCATGCATTTCTTTTCAGATCTCTAGAATACATCTTGAGTCAATGGATTCAGTCTTGCACGAAAAGTAGAAATCAGATATGTGATTTTATTTTATCTGAAACTAAATTTTTGATTTCCTAGGTAGAGATTCAATATCCTAATTAGTAATTAGCCTGGATTGTTGTAAAACCTGTTGGAAAATGTTGTAAGGACTTATTCAGTCCCAGCTGTTCTTTACACTATAAATTTTATAGTTAGTTATCGTTTTACTTCCAATTGTAAATGAAGTCTTTATTCAGTGGGATTTTCAAGAAATTGTTACAGAAGGTATTCTGAGGTCATGTGTGGTATCTCATGTTGCAGAAATACAATAAATGGATTGCTTTACGGCAAGCACTTTTTACATATAATTAGAATGAGATGTTCTCACAGGCTATAGTTTTGTGAAAGTTTAACTTAATACAATGTGCATAAATAAACTGCCAGAAAGCTACATGTTTTTATTATATGTAGAGAGATATGCAAAAATCATTAAGTAATCTCTATGAGATACTGTTATGTACCAAATTGTGTACCCCTAAAATTCATATGTTGAAACCCTAACTCCCTGGACCTTAGAATTTGACTTTACTTGGAGACAGGATCTTTAATGAGGTCTTTAAGATTAAATGGGGTCTAAGGGTAGGGCCCTAAACTGACATGAGAGATGTCATTATAAGAATAGGACTCGTTCTACATGCACAGGGAAAAGGCCATCTGAGGTTATAGAGAGAAGGCAGCCGTCGCAAGCCAAAGACAGAGACCTCAGGAGAAATGAAACTCGCCAACACCTTGTTCTTAGATTTCCATCCTCCAGAACTGTGGGAAAATTCGTTTATGTTACTTAAGCCACCCAGTCTGTGGTTTTTGTTATGGTAGTGTGTTATAAGCTGAAGTGTCTCCACAAAATTTGTATGTTGCAACCCTAACACCCAATATGTCTATATTTGGAGATAGGTTCATTATGGAGGTAGTTGAGGTTGAATGAGGTCATAAGGGTTAAACTCTAATCCAAAAAGACTGGTATCCTTATAAAAGAGGAAGAGACACCAGGAGTGCTTGGACACAGAGAAAGGGCCACATGAGGACACAAAAAAAAGATGGCTATCTACAAGCCTGAGAGAGAAGTTTCACAGAACCAATTTTCCTTGATATTGGACTTACAGCCTCAAGAGCTGTGAGAAAATTAATTCCTGTTGTTTAAGTCACCCAGTCTGTGGTAGTTCATTATGGCAGCCCTAGAAAACTAATATACAAATTTGATAGTCATAAATATCATAAATATGCATGTACAAGTATATGCATGCATGCATGCATGCACAGACTGCTGTGTACAAATTATCAAGATTCTTATTTGAAAACAGTAGGGAGACTTTTATTTTGCCTTTGCATATTAGAATGTCTGTTAGATTATAAATAAGTATACATAATTTATATTAATGCAGCCAGACTGTATCTGGATATTAATTAGAATAAAACAGAATTGTATGAAGTGAGGTCAATGTATGGGTACTCTCAAATTTGTTTTTAAAATGTTTTGGACATATTCACAGGTTGATTATTCAGTTTTCAGAAAGAATGTAAGAGCCTGTGCTCAACCTACCTACAATCATCAAAGAAGAATATTAAACTTGAACTCCACTGTTTCAAATTAAGTTTTTCTCATATAGCTGTTATATTTCTGTCATTTATCAAGTTACCTTAAGAAGTTTTTTGTGAGTTTAATTAAGCCTGACTAATTCTCCAACAGCACAAAGAAAGATGAATTCCTTAAATATTTAATCCATTTATGACTCAAAGTGTCATTTTGTGAACATAACTATTAAATTCTTGGAATTAATTATCTTTTGAATTAAAGTTGCTTTTTCAGACATTCAAAACCTAAAGTCACAGTCCCAGATCACACAATGCGTAAATTCAACATTTCATCTTTCACCAAGAGAATTTATTCCAAATGCTGAATTCCAAATCTCAACTATGAAAACTAAGGAAACTTTTACTGTAAACTTGCTAACACTCAACCATGCCTTCTTTGTGATCTCCATTCTTGGTCTTTCCTTTCCTTCCTTCTTCGTCGAAATATTAATGAACTAAAAGTTAGCTATTTTAGCCAGGTGCACTGTCTCACACCATGCTGAGGCAAGAGGACTGCCTGAGCCCAGGGATTCGAGACCAGCCTGGGCAACTTGGCAAGACCTTGTCTCTACAAAAAAAAAAAAAAGAATTAGCCAGGTGTGGTGGCTTATGCCCGTAGTTCCAGATACTTGGAAGGCAGAGGTGGAAGAATGGCCTGAGTCCAGCAGGTCGAGGCTGAGGTAGCCGTAATCACTGCACTCCAGCCTGGGCAACAGAGTGAGACTCCAACTAAAAAAAAAAAAAGTTAGCTATTTACAAAATCACTATTCTTTTTCACTGAAACTTTGTTCTCCTAAAGTCATCCCAAGTTTCTCCCCCTTCAGAAAGTTTTTCTCCATTACGATCAGCAGGCAGCATAATCATTGGTCTTTCCCTTTCTGGCATCATTCTGAAACACTACATGTATCCATGACTTTACTTACACATTTTCTATTTTTTCTCTCCCACGACCGAAGGGTAACCAAAACTAGACGCAATGTTCCTCAAGATGAGACTCTTAAGAATACAATGAGCCGGGCTCGGGGGCTCAGCCTGTAATCCCGCGCCTTTGGGAGGCTGAGGTGAGTGGATTGCCTGAGCGCGCGGGTTTGAGACCCGCCTGGACA